ATAGAGAAAGCGGGATGAAATCTAGGTCAGCCTCGAGGAGGAAGATCGGCGGTTATGGCTAGGCTGTCGACCGACAGATATTAAAGACCCGTTGACTGGTATCTCTCGGAGACTCTCAATGTCTCTTAATTAACGTGGACGAGAGAGTGTGCATCCCTTTGCCGTTTTACCACTTTGCTAACAAACTACGGGAATTTTTGCGGTTGATGCGCAAGACAACAAAAGATTGGCGAACACAGAGCAAGCAAGATTTACAGCGTAGTATCTTTTTCGTTGCATTTAAAATGCATTCATTTCTACGCAAAACGTAATAAGAATATCGTTCTTTGATCTGATTCAATGTTTTTTATATCTCCCGCAAATGCGAGACACAAGTGAAAATTCAAAATAAAGTATTTCAAAAAGTTGACACATTCGAAGAGCATATTTCATAGAAAACAAAAAAATACTAATAAAAAATGTAGAAGAAATTTGAGTTCCATTATCTAAATATGTAATATTTTCAAGCATTCGATAGACTTACTGGCCACTAACAAAGCACCATTATACATGCAGGTATCTTTTGGACGCGATATTTTGCTTACATACATATCTCGTTGCGCTAATTAAAAACAGTTGAAGGTAAAACATAGTACATACATGTTTCAACGCAACAAACGCAACCGACTCATTTGAGACTACAATCCTTCGTCGTGCTATATGAAAACGAGGAGAAATGTTCTGAAATTACTAAGAGCATAAAAAAACGCTTTACACATTTCTTTCAGCTACATTACAAATTCTGGATAGCGTCAAACTTTTACGGGAGTCCTTACAGACCTTACGGAAGTCCGACCGAAAAGCATTTTAAAAATTGTATAAAGAATTAAGCGAAGACATTACTTCAAAAAAATAATATAGATATATTCTTCTCGCTAATCCCGTGTTTCAAGCGTTCAAGCAATTATTGTCCATTAGACGTCTTCTTTTAATAAACAAGATTCTCAAAGCCCATTAAAATATTAATCTAGAAGTACAATAAAAAGAATACTTCAAACAAAGTTGCCATGTTAGTTAGTTAATGCTTCCTTTTTGTATGAAAGTAACAATATATTATTCGATCGTGATAGCTATTCAGTATCACGGCTCTAATATCATAATCGTGAGCAGCTAATTATTACAGCACACATCTTGTCCAAGCAACACGCTATATATTTTCAAGAACGAGTAAAATAATAAACTCATATTTTTTATGTAACAATTAACATATTGATTTTGATAAAATAAAAAAATGTTTATCAATTCACAATTAATTACAGTAACAAGATACGTTACGACTAGTATTTAGCAATATAAAAATTATGCATATTTGCATAATTGTCCGTATTTTAACAGTTAAATGTCGTTCGCCAAAGGAATATCTTACATGATGTTGAAGAGAGACGCGGTCCAAAGCACGTTTCATACGCAGCTGTGTCGCATCTGTGTCTAGTATCATTCTCATGAGTTCCAGACGCAGGATCTCGTAAAGCATGAACTGCTAATTTCGCGGAATTTCGTAATTACACTTTTTCTTCCTCTCCGCGGGAACCAACCCTCCCTTTCATCTCGCGCGAAACTGCTTAAATTACGCCGATTTTACACTTCAGCGGCCGCAGGTACATACGTATCCGCTAAAAGCCGACCTTTGACTCTTTCCACGAGCGACTAACGACCAATTGGCAATCCGGTCGAACTAGTTGGAAACTAGTTCCTAGCTGACGTCGTTATTCCGGCTTCCACTGAATCCTGCCTCGGCTTTTTCCCCCTTTTTGCTACCTCGTATGCTCTGTAGACATCGTTCTTACCCTCGCGCCCGCGCCGCGTCGAAAGTTAATTCGTCATTTCTCACAAAAAGCATTAAAAATTATCTCGTGTTGATCACAAATAAAAATTAATCGAGAACAGGGACGCTTTTTAGAATCATTGTCCACGAACGAAGATTAATATCAAAAACAGAAATAAACATATAATTTGTTGTAATTAACAAATTGTTGACTAAAAGGCAGGAAACTATTTTTATATTATAAGCATTCTTGTAGAATGCTCAAATATTTATAACTATCGCAAATTGTTTTCCTCTTTTATATTTTCATATAATCGCTTTTATTAACAAACTTGTACTTATTTCCACTTCTAATAGTTTTAATTCATATAAGCGATAGCTATTTAAAAAACGTGTCCGTTCTCTATTTTAATTTTTCTTTATAGTTAAAATAAGATAATTTTTTAACTGAACAACGTCAATTTTCAGACGTTACAACTTTTAATTTCGCCATCGCTTACTGTTTGTTCGTAAAGAAATACTGAAAGTTTCATCTCTAATTTCATCGCCGTATCGCTTTGTATTGGACTCGCTACGAAATTGGCCTTCTGTAAAATACGCTTCAATACTTCTGTGCTAGTTCGCGCTTTTTAAATCCGACGGAGCTTTTCTATACATTACTCTTCGGTAGTAGGAACAGGAATATACCGATCAATTTGATACCTTTATTTCCTACCGTGAAAGTTGATTGAGTTGCTGCGGGTTGATTGAATTTTTTTCACGTGATCGAATGGAATCAACGATTGTCCGGGGGATTTAGTTTTCAGCATCAAGTACTTCAAATTCGCGACCAAGCGAATAATAAGTCTTAAGGTATTCCTTTCACGGAGGAGCATATTTTGTAGGCGCTTAAACAGGGTCTCAGCAAACTCTTGTATATTGCATTAAACTTATATATAAGTTACGGTAATATGCAATTTTAATACAACAAACAAAGCAAGAAATTAATAAAAATGAAAGCTTAACATACTCGTATATCAACTTTTATGCATAATTATTTATAAAAATTCAAATTTTTTATACTCTGCTTTGTTGTTTCATTAATTCAATAATTTATTAATTACTTGACTAATTACTTATTACGATAACGAAAAAAAGTAGTACGCTTTACGAAGAAAAGCTGCCAAAAGAAGAAGAAAGAGAAGCAGCAACCTCCAAGTTATGATCGATGAACCAAGTTATAAATCTTTGTTTTTATACCTTCGTATTCGATATTCCGGAGGATTCAAGTTTCCACGATGACATTCGTGCGATCGAGAGAATAAAAATTTTATTGCATCGTAAGACACTCTCGCACCGCGCCAAATTAGATAGGAGGGTGAAAGGATTTCTCGGGTGTAGCCGACAGCAAACTCTGCCTCTTTCGCAGGATGGAATTCACTATCGCGTGACGAACTATCGAACTTACGACAGACGCTTATCGCCAGAATAGGAGAAAGTCAAAATTGACTTCCGAGATATCGCGGATGCCAATGAAAAGTCGTCGACGGGCACGAAGGGGGATGATATCATCGGTTAACGCCCGGTCGCTGCTAATTCGTCGATATTACTTCGGCACTTCGCCGAAGAGAAGTTCGTTGAGAAGGAAAAAGGGATGAAGGAGCGAGTAAACGCGCCCGGTACCTATGCGAGTTTGAGTCACGGCTGGGATACGAGAGGACTTGCCGCTCTCCTGAAGTTATCGAGCTTCGAAAAGAAAAGGAAAAAAAAAGCACGGCGAAGAAGTGGGATTACAGTGCACCCATTTCCGGTGAAGACTTCGCGATTCACGTAATAGAACAATACTAGTTGAGAAAGTTGGCGATTTGAAAAATTTAATCATTCCAGGAAAAAGGATTATCAAAAATGTAAGTCATGTACAAATGGTATATAAAATTATTCTTTATTTTAATTATCAAATTTTTTTTTAATCAATCTTTTAGATTATATTTCTATATAACTTTAATAAAGTTTCTTTAAAAAGACAAAATAATTCGCGACGAATTAAATTTTCAAACTTGCTTTTCTCAAAAAGTCATTAATACTCACGCCTGTTATTTTTTCGAAGATATACATTTGCTCGTTCTCTAAGATATATATTTATATTCGTATTAATTCGTTAGGTATACCGTATTATATTGATACAGCCGACGAGTTATTCGCGACAGGTCTGAAATACGCGTGGAAAGAATAAGGAAGGAAGGAATTGGTGAAAAATAGTGGAAAGAAAAACGAGAATGAACTAATAAAAACGTCGGCGTTCTCCGCAAGCTCAATTTCTACGGAATGCGAGCGAAGCACGATCCACTTTTCTACTTTATCCTTCGACGTTCGGTCGTTTAACCCCTTAACGCTACGGTGTAAGAAGATTCCACCGTGTGCTTCCCGGGATTGTATCGTGCTTGAATTCACACGCCGTTATAACACGCCTTAATAAATGGCGAATATCCGGTAATGGATTTTAAATTTGCGTGAATTTCGATATGACGAACGTACAATAAAGACGAACTTGCTTTATTAATTCTCGATATTTTATCGTCACTTGATCGTTTAACTTAGAAACGATCATACAGCAGGTTTCCGTAATTTGGTTCCCGTGATTGTTTGCAAAATCATTGATTATTATAGTGTATTACAATCAGCTCTTCGGAAATATAAATTATATACCAACGAGTTTCAAAGTAAATTCACAAGGAACAAAAGTTTCATTATTTTAATTTAAAATATTATTTAATATTTAAATTTATTTAACATTTTATTAATAATTTAATATCATTATATATTATTTTCTCATCGTATTTTCAATTTAATAAATTTTCTTAACATTTATGTAAAATGCTTGTATGGCAAAAAGTGTGATTAATAATATAGGTATTACCAGAAAAAGAGAGAGAGAGAGATTTGAAAACAATTTCTCTTTTAAAGAAAATTGCTCTTTGTATGAGATATTATATTCGTTTGTAATATTTTTATGTCTTTAACTCGATATCATATTTATATATCTGTATACATTTTATACACATCTAATATAAGTTTCATAGATCTATTGATCATTTTCAAGTGAAAATAAAACATAATTTGTCATTCACGATGAGATCTCAAGGAATAATTGTTTCGCGCATAAATATATAAATATTAACGATTAATACCGAGAACAAAATAATAATGAATTACTTACCCCTGAGTTGCTTCGTCGACGTCCGATGCTTCCCGTTCATCGTCCGAGGCCTCCTCCTGCTCCTTCTTTCTTAATCCTTCCTTAATCGTTCTTGTCTTGTCTTTTCATAGAGTTCACTCAACAGTCATTCGCGATGTTAATCGTACATGACGCGCATTTTACTATACGGCGATCGAAAATTAACGCGAGAAAAACATCATCAAGTCGCAAATAAGCGTAACGAACAAACATCGAGAGGGCTTTATTTGATAATTATAATACATATTCAGAGTCTCCGCTCTCTACGAGTATCTATCGCGATCACAATTTGAGGAATAATGAGACACACACGGAGAGAGCGATCGTCCTACTACCTACGCACTCGAGTGTCGTCGCACTCGTCGCGTAAATGATAACAAAGCGACCTTTAGCAAACATAGTGCGCTGAAACACGCATACGCCGCGAAAACAAACATCAAGGCCACGCACTAACCGACTTATTGTCATCTCGGAATATTTAACATTATATAGATTAAATGCTTACTGAGAATGTTGACTTACTCCAATAATTCTGACTTTTTCCAAAGAATATTCTGAAAAAGAGAAGATTCGTATTTTCTTTTGTTTGGATCTGCGATCAATATTTCCGACAATGTGATTTTTGTAAGAAATTGAATTTTTCGGTTTTTAAATCGTTAATACCTTGGAAATGTTCAATTCTATCGAAAAGTCGCGCGCAATTTGGAAAAAGTCGCATGCGATTTAGAGAACTTGCACGCAATTAAAAATAAGTCGCGCATGATTTAGAAAAAGTCACGCGCGACTTTGAGAAATTTTTTTATTAGACTATTAGACTTATAGTCGTTAAGTCTCCATATGAGAAATAACTTCAGTGAACTTCATTATATGGCGTATTGCAAATCTAATAGATATTTATTTAAAGAACAAAAACTTAACTTTATCGAGAAAATAAAAATTAATATCTACCAAGAGATAGAGCTCACGTCTGACACCAAGTGCACGCGCGCAAAAAACTTGGCACTACTAAACTAAATAAGTAACTTTTTATGCAATTTTATTTTATATAATACAAACGTAATTTATGAAAGATATATTATATTATCTAAATTTAAATTAAAAATAAATGTATTATTACTTAGAAAGTAGTAAGATAGTGATGGTAAAATTACTGAACGTTAAGTTTATGCTGAAGTTATTAAGATTTAGATATTAAGATTAGATTGAGCAAATCATTTCATTACTTTAAGATATTTTAAGTTTGAGCAACGCCAAGTATTCTGCATGTCTTTCCATTTTGATATATTTTGTTTTATTGTATTGTTATTTATTTTCTTTGGTTAAGCCTTTTGCTCCATTGTAATATATCTGTTCACATTTTTTAAAATTTCTTATGGAAATATAACCCGAAATATTACATGTTTTTTTCAGATATTTGACTTCACAATCATATTACAAAACTATATTATATTTTATTAATTATTTATAATATTTTTAATATCAAAACGTAAAAGTATTATATGGTTAGTATAAATTTTATTTTAGTTGGCACAACTTTATAATATTTCTCTCTCTCTCTCTCTCTCTCTCTCTCTCTCTCTCTCTCTCTCTCTCTCTCTCTCTCTCTCTCTTTCTCATTATTTCTTTTAACATAGAAAAAATAGATTTAAATAATAATATATTTCTCACACTTTAATATTTTTTTACTTAAATTATTATATGCTTTTTTAGATTTTTAAATCTATTTTGTGTAGCACAAAACCCTCTTATAATATTTTTATTCACATGTATCTTGACGCCTTTCATTTATCTTTTTTAAATAATGTAATTTTATATACATATACATAATATATATGCAGCTTACTTTATTTCTATATTTTAGAATAAATGAATTCTCATTTTAATAGCAAATATTATAAATAAATGTTAAATAATAGTAATTATAATTATTATTCAATATACTCCGTTTAGGTATACGTATCAAAACAAAAAATACAATTAAAATATTTTCAGTTACATTTTTCAGCCTCCACTTCCATCTCCTGAAAAAGATCTGACAAAATTTAGTGAGGTATAAAATATTAAAGTGTCTGATACAAAAAGTACCAAAAATATAGTTCAACGAGAGAATTTTATTTCATCACTTCTCATTATTAAATTGTTGGCTTGTGATATATTGCAATATCACCACTTTATTTATGACGTAATAAAATCGACATTGTTATATGTCGTTTATATATCATACTTTCCAATGTTTGTAAAAATTTTAAAACACTGGATTATAACGTGCTATTGACTCATTCCGATATGATTCAAACGATATGAATAATAAACAAAGAGAAAAGTCGAGAGATGATGGCCGGACATTGTTCGTGATGTGAATCCTCATTCACAAATGTAATTGAGAATTCAAACATTTCAGATGTTACTAAATGAATGGAAAAAAATTTTAAGTCATTATTGATTAAAATATCGTACAATAGCTATATTAGATATGTAGCTATTGTAGAGTATTTAGCCAATGTGCGACGTGAAAAATGATATAAAAATTTGTTGAATAGATTGATTGATCTATCCTAGAATAAATTTCTTGAAAGGAATTGGATGTAATGCAAAATAATGTAATATAAAATTTCGCAATAAATTATTGGCAATTTATATAAAATTTTAAAATGATAAGTATTTTATTCATGCATGACAATAACGTATTGCAAATTTGTAAAAGTAAAATCGTGAAAATTTTAAGATAGCTATAAGAGAAAAAAATTCAAGTAAATAAGAATACTAAAAATAGATTTTGTAAAAAAAATAGAAAAAATGTGGAGTGTTTTAACAACATATTAGGAATGTATTCCAATAGATAGGATTCACCAAAACTGTGAAAACCCCAAAATAACTTTTGTAAAAATGAAAATATCGGAAACGGTAAAAGAAAGAAAACACGGTGAAACATATATTCCAATATTTCAAGAAAACTACATTTCGGCATGGGTGCCGATCAACTCCCATCCTCAGGCGCGCGGAGGTGGGGTTGGGGGAATGGAAGTTGAAATTTTTAAATGACACTAGGTGTCAAGTGGAGGCTTATTTGAAAAGTCTTTTGAAGACAAACAAGACCTGATCATTTTTAAGTCGCTATGACACCCTCATCCAAAATGGTTAAAGATCAGAATTTCATGCACTTTACGTTGGCCAAGGTGCGGGAGAAAGAGGAGAGAAAAAAAAAGTAAATTTTGTATGAATATAAAAACAAGAATGTTTAGATGGATCTCCCAGCTCCGACCAATTAACCTTTCACAAGATATTTCGCATTAACTTTGCTTGACGCCTTTCTCGCGCACGGTCGTAAATCGTTAAATTAAACTTTAATAAATTTCGAAGATACAGCAGCAAAGGCATTTCCTGCTCGTCAAACAGGCAACAGTAATTAGAAAGATTCGTAAGCCAAGTAAGTACAACTTATACATTTATGTGTATCGTATTCCTCGTTGAGAAATTTAACACAAAAGAAAATTTGCCCTATACCTTTCTATTTTGTATCGTGCGTATTATCTTCGCATATACAAAGAATTATTTTAACAAACAATTTAATGCGCAAGCAAAGTAGAGAAACAGTAAATTAACGCTCTCGGTATTTGGATTTCTCTACGCACCTCAAAAATCGACGTGACAAAAAGAGAGATTATATTCTTTTTTAGTGGAAACTAATTCCCCCGGAAATATAGAAAAATACGACAAACGACACGTTGTAATTCTCTAAGAGAGATTATAATTATTATTCAATTATCCTCTTTAATTTGATATTAAATTTTCTTATTCATTAATGTATATGAGAGACGCAATTTATCTACTTTTGTATTTTCACGAAGCGTTTCTCGTAAATTCCTGTAAAGATAAAACAAAATGTAAGTTAATATGTGCAAAAATATAAAATAAAGAGATAGAATAAAAAAGATAAAATAAAAAAGATAGAATAAAAAAGATACAAAACAATCTCTCCATACCCTGATTATTATAAAGAATATAAAAAATTTTTATCTTAAATTTTATTTCAACACACAGAATTATTATCTATTATCTTTCGCCATAAAGATTAAAATTAATTTGACGGATTAAAGCAGAGCAACGAATCTAATCTCAAAGATAGGTGATTCAATGAATAATTAACATTCAATGCAAGGTAAAATGAAAAGAGCGTGGCCCACTGGGAAAATGCGCTATATCATCATCTTTCCTTTCTCTCACATACAAATCTCTTCTTTACAAATTGAATATCTGTGGAAATGTCTATTTGCAACCAAATTAACGCTTTATTTTTTCACAGCTTCAAACATTATTTCACCAAAATAACTCGTATTAAAATAATGATAAAATTTGCTCTATTACTTACTATTATTTATATAACTAAAAAGTGCAAAGTGAATTATCTTTTACACAATGCAAACAGATGAATTATGTGACTTTATTTAATTTATTAGTAAGTAACAATAAGAAATTCCGCATTTCAAATCTTCAAAAGCACTGGGGTAAAATAATCCATTTTTAATCATGAAATCGTGGCCATTAATTTGGTACAACTTGATTTTCACAATTGTAATAAAAAATCGAAGCTATATAACAGGAAATATCACTCGATACTCTTATAAAATCTTCACGGATCGTTACGCAGCGAATTCTAATTCGATGAACATTCGCGGGAATAGATTGTCTGCAGTCAAACGTCTCGTCTAATCCAAGGGGAAAATGTCTACTTCCGTAAATGGCCATCCACTCCTGTTCTAACAGAACGTTTCACATCTTCGCGACGAATACCGTGCGCGCGGCGTCATGCATACGGACATCCTGTATTGTCTCTCGCTCTACCGTCCAACCCTTCGAAATTGCTCTCATACCCCCCTAGTTATTACTTAACTATGTCGCCAACGGTTGGGATGGAACATGAACGATGTACATCGCAACCTAACCCGGAATTCCGTCTCCAATCTGACATATATTTAATTTAATCGATATCGCGTCGGAATTGTCTGCAGAATTTGCAATTATATTAGAAGTAATCGATACAGAACAATGAAATGTAATTTTCTCACCGCACTGCTTGACGTTGGTAGTAATCGTTTTTACCATATAGTCGTATTCGATTCTTCTTCAACTAAAGTGTTCGCAAAAAAAAATCTTTTTATTTTATAATAATTATATATGCAAATTATTTCAGTTAATATTAAAATCAATGAATATCGATCGATGTAAAACTACGATAAAATGTAATTCCTTCATCAATATTTTATTGGACAGCAATAGTATATAGCGAT